GGAAGTCATAGAAGGTCTCCTCTGTAGTCCGCTCTGTCCTCTGATGAATCTCCCAGGAAGTCATAGAAGGTCTACTCTGTATTCCGCTCTGTCTTCTGATGATGAATCTCCCAGGAGGTCATAGAAGGTCTCCTCCGTATTCTGCTCTGTCCTCTGATGATGAATCTCCCCGGAAGTCATAGAAGGTCTCCTCTGTAGTCCGCTCTGTCCTCTGATGAATCTCCCAGGAAGTCATAGAAGGTCTACTCTGTATTCCGCTCTGTCTTCTGATGATGAATCTCCCAGGAGGTCATAGAAGGTCTCCTCCGTATTCTGCTCTGTCCTCTGATGATGAATCTCCCCGGAAGTCATAGAAGGTCTCCTCTGTAGTCCGCTCTGTCCTCTGATGAATCTCCCAGGAAGTCATAGAAGGTCTACTCTGTATTCCGCTCTGTCTTCTGATGATGAATCTCCCAGGAGGTCATAGAAGGTCTCCTCCGTATTCTGCTCTGTCCTCTGATGATGAATCTCCCCGGAAGTCATAGAAGGTCTCCTCTGTAGTCCGCTCTGTCCTCTGATGAATCTCCCAGGAAGTCATCGAAGGTCTACTCTGTATTCCGCTCTGTCTTCTGATGATGAATCTCCCAGGAGGTCATAGAAGGTCTCCTCCGTATTCTGCTCTGTCCTCTGATGATGAATCTCCCAGGAGGTCATAGAAGGTCGTCTCTGTATTCTGCTCTGTCCTCTGATGATGAATCTCCCAGGAAGTCATAGGTCTCCTCCGTATTCCTCTGTCCTCTGATGATGAATCTCCCAGGAAGTCATAGAAGGTCTCCTCCGTATTCTGCTCTGTCCTCTGATGATGAATCTCCCAGGAAGTCATAGAAGGTCTCCTCCGTATTCTGCTCTGTCCTCTGATGATGAATCTCCCAGGAGGTCATAGAAGGTCTCCTCCGTATTCTGCTCTGTCCTCTGATGATGAATCTCCCAGGAAGTCATAGAAGGTCTCCTCCGTATTCTGCTCTGTCTTCTGATGATGAATCTCCCAGGAGGTCATAGAAGGTCTCCTCCGTATTCTGCTCTGTCCTCTGATGATGAATCTCCCAGGAAGTCATAGAAGGTCTCCTCCGTATTCTGCTCTGTCCTCTGATGATGAATCTCCCAGGAAGTCATAGAAGGTCTCCTCCGTATTCCTCTGTCCACTGATGAATCTCCCAGGAAGTCATAGAAGGTCTCCTCCGTAGTCTGCTCTGTCTTCTGATGATGAATCTCCCAGGAAGTCATAGAAGGTCTCCTCTGTATTCTGCTCTGTCCTCTGATGATGAATCTCCCAGGAAGTCATAGAATCCTTCCACTGTATTGCAGAGTTGGGGCCACGTGGACGTTATCGGTTTAGAAAGATTCTCTCCGGCATATCTGAGAGTTTTTTGGGGGGTTCTGCGGATGAATTTGGATCATTGAATGTGAATTGTTATTTTGTTGTTGATTTTTGGGGGTGTGGTCTCCAGGATCGGCGTGTCTGGGGCTTCCAGGAAGTGGTCACGGTGTCCCTCTAACGGTTGTCTTTGTGTTTTGTTCCAGGTTGCTCCTCCGGGATGTTCAAGCCGAATCAGGGTGACGAGAGCTGCTTTCACTGCCCTATAAACAGTCGCACCACCTCCGAGGGGGCCACCAACTGCGTGTGCCGACCCGGGTACTACCGAGCCGACTCGGACCCCCTGGAGATGCCCTGCACCAGTAAGTTCCTTCCTGTCCTGTGTGGCACATGTGGGGTGTACAGGGGGGAGGGGGGGCATCATTGGCATTCTTCACATAAAAGCTGCACAAGATACTAAACATAACGTTCTGTTGCTGAGGGGAAGACATTTTCCTGAGCACACCTGACTTCCTGTCTGTACTTCTGAAACATGCA